AGCATTTATGTCCACAAATTTAATTTATGAGGTTATAGAAGTCATTTTGCACAGTTAGGCTAATTGTTATTTGGTAGAAATATGAGGGCATTTGTGTCCGAAGTGTTTTTTAATTCAAGATAAAATTGGTATGAACAGTGGATTAGTAATCTTTTAATAACACATGTTGAGAAGGTAATCTGATTACCCCCTATATTACCAACAGTAACAACTATTGGCAATGAAAAATTACCGCAATCTTTTATTACTTGACAACCAAACAACATAATGCCCGTAATAAAAGATAGATTACAAGAGTAATCTTCCCAATCCCCTAACCAAATGCACCCTAAGCCACAATGAAGTTAAACTTCAATGAACCTTTTTCTGATCGTATGTACCGTATAGTAAAATTCTTCTGTCGTCCAATCCCGATTAAAAATAGGTTTATGGTATGTCAAAACTCATAATTTAATCTTTAATCGAATCATCAATCAATACAATGGAATGTATCGTCATGAAACTACTTTTCATATGACTATTTTGTACTCTGGCCAGAGATTTTCTTTTCTAATGTTTATTAACATTCGACTGGGAACATCAAACTATTTCGAGTCAACGGATCCCATCTTAACCATCACTAGTCCTTGCACATGAATAACATATGACTAAATCAGCTTCTTGCATTAGACATGATTAGTCTCGTGCTTATACATCATATGAACCATATGTATCCTATGTCGAATCCAACCGTGATGTCTCATGTCTAAAGATTAGTGGTACACTATACGATTCTACGATGTATCATTGACCATATTTTGAATGTCTATGTGATTCATTGTAATCGGTCATATTCGATAAATAGTTCACTAACTGTTTATCCATGCTAATGCCCTAGTGATATAAATTTTATAATCACCCACTCATTACCATCACATGATATTTAATGGAGGCATTCAACATGCATACTATGCAATGTTATTGCCCAATCAACATTAATTACATAGGGGATGCTTTGATGATTTGATCTTCTGAAAATCCATATCATCTGGACATTTCACATGTTTAGCATATATAAAATATAAATGAAGCAGTAAACAAACATTTGAAATAAGAACACTTCATTTTATTAATAAAATATTTACACGATATAATATCCAAGAACCGATACTACGATTGGTTCCTAGGCCATACACTAACAAAACTCTCACTTGCACTAGAGCCCATCATTATGGTATCTTGTACCCATCTTCTGAAGATGATAGTTCAACTGCTTCTGTATCATCGCTTTAGTTAGTGGGTCAACTAAATTTTCTGCTGAAGATGTTTTCTGCACCAAAATCTCAAGCTCCAACGAATTCTCTCAAAATATGATATTTATGTTGAATATGTTTGGATTTCTGGTACACCCTTGGTTCCTTTGCATGTGCAATAACAGCACTATTGTCACAGTACAAGGTTATTGGATAAACCATGTTTGGAACCACACCAAGTTCAGTCATGAACTTGCGCATCCAAACAATTTCCTTTGCTGCTTTTGAAGCGGCAATATATTTAGCTTTTGTAGTAGAATCGACAATTGTCGACTGTTTGGAACTCTTTTAACTAACTACTCCTCCATTACAGGTGAAAATGAATTTGGATGTAGACTTTCTGTCATCCACATCTAATTAATAATCAAAGTCCAAGTATCCCTGAATCTTTAATTCTGAACCTTTATAAACTCAGTAATAAATCCTTAGTTCTTCTCAAGTATTTAAGGATTGTTTTCACAACAAACCAATGCTTCTCCCTTAGGTCGGACTGATATCCGCTTGTAACACTTACATCATAAGCTATATCTGGCCTAGTATACAACATAGTGTACATGAGACTAACCACAACAAAAGCATAATGTACCCCACGCATCCGCTTGTGGTCCTGATTAATCTTGGGACTCATATCTTCATAATGATGAATTTCATGATTGCAGGGCAAAAAGCCCTTTTTGGAGTCTTTTATGCCAAACAGTTTCAACATCATTTCTATATACATTCTTTGGGATAAGCTTATTAAACTTTTCGCTCTATCTTTATAGATGCGAATTCCTAGGATATATGCTGCTTCTCCAAAGTGATGTTTTGAAACCCGGACCAGACCTGTCGGTACAACTGGTTTGACCGGGTTTTGTCAATAACTCCGGTTCATTGAGAATTGAAACCCGGTATTTGTATTTAAATTGTTTCTAACTACTTTTGGACTGGCAAACTAGTGTCAGACCGTCGGTCCAACCGGATCAGATGAAAATCCGGTCCAACAAATGTGACGTTTTAAAAGGCAAAATCTATGGCTTTTTTGCTTCAGCCTTCGTTTCTTTAATCTTCATTTTTTTTCTTCGTCTTTCTCTGGCTTCCAATCCAACTTCATTGATCTTCCCTTTCACCTTTATTCATCTTTGATTCAATTCGAGCTTAGAAAATGAAAGAAAAAGAAGAAGAAAGAGAAGATCTAAAGAAGCAGAAGAAGAAAGAGAAGAGAACGGAGAGAAAGAGAGAAAAAAAAATAAGACGAAGAAGAAGAAAGACAAGAGGAGGTGAGAAAACAGAAGAAAATATGGAAGAAGTTAAGAAGAAAGAGAAGATGAGCTGACATGTGAGAAATATATATATATATTTGAAGATATCACCTGTCTGACTCATGGTTGGACCGCCCAGACTAGAAACCGACCACCTGACCTAGTCACCTTTTGCTCCAAAGTCTTTTAAGGAGAAAGTAGTTTGATATGTAACAATGGTATTGTGTTTACCCGATTTATGCCCGTGTTTGTATTATAGGGCCTGTAGGGTTGATAACTGACACAGTCTTTGTTGTGAATTATTCGACTACTTCTCTTTGTTATATCTCTTTGATTAATAGACCCAAACGGTAAAGTTAGTCAAGCTATCAATTTAAAACTTGTATACAATATAAACTTTAATTTATTCTCCAAAATTTAGCAAAAACTTTTTTTTTTTTTTTTTTATCATTGTATTAAGTTTTATTTCTAATTCTATGCTATAATGTTAATTTATAAAATTTATCTACATTTTATATTACCAATTAATCATACAACTAGTATACCATCTAAACACTTAATTAAATTTTTAACTGAAACCATAGCTTACCAAATTATCTAAATAAAATCTGTTAAAGAATTTACAAATAAGTATGATTATCAGCTAACTGGTTTTTTTAGCATTGACTTGTCTAGTGTTATTACAATTTGACATACCTTAAATTTACTCTTCATAAACCTTCTAATTACACACATTATAAGCTTTTTTAAAAGCCTATTTATAATTTTAATACTTGAACTATTTATAAAATACCATCAAAAAGATTATTAAAAGTTGACAATAAACTCATTTATAGAAAGTATCCCCCCCATAAGCAGACCTGGTAAAACGGGTTTAGACCTGCGGGTCGGTCCATACCCGGATAAAAAATATAAGGTATGAGTCCAATATATTAAACCCCTTTTTTTGACCTGTACCCGGACCGACCCGTATAACTAACGGGTTATATGAGTGAACCCGCATATACCCGTTTTTGCAAATCCCTAACCCCCAACCCTAACTCAGCAGCTCAACTCTATCCTGCCTCTCATCTCTCTTGTCTCTCAATCTTCAACATAACATTCTCTCCCACCTCTCAATCTCTTATCAGTCAACTGGATGTGCATCGGAAGAGAGTTTCGGTGGTTTTGTGGAAGAGGAGGAGAAGGAAGAGGAAGTCGAAGAAGAGAAGGAGGTGAGGAAGGTTATTGGATCGAAAGCGGGAAAGAGTAATTTAGGAAATGGAGCTAAAACATCACGAAAGAGGAAAAGGGTTTTGTATGGAGATGAAGAAGATGAGGATTATGAAGGAGAGGAGGAGGATGAGGAGTTTACCCTTGATGAAGATGATTGTTTGGATGATGAAGAGGAATTGGTGGTCACGAAGAAGAAAAACAACAGTAGGAAGAATAAGAAGTTGGGTAGAAAAGTCTGAGAAAAAAGGGTTCTGTATTAGGAAATTAATTTTCTAAAGATGGGTACAAGTCAACACATGGGTTTAAGTTTCAATGTGTTAATTATGTTCAGTCACATAGTACAACTCCATCACTGCCTATAGATGCAATTCTTCCATTATTCTAAATTGATTTTCAGGTTGTCACTGTAAATGGCAATTAAGTTGGCTTCTGTTAGAGGTCGAAAAAAGAGAAAACGTATAGAATCAGCAAAGCCTTTAGGAAAGAAAGGAAGAAGAACCCGTGGGTTGAGGAGTAAAGAAATATGTGATGATGATGAAGATGAAGATTGTGATTTTCTTGATGATACTCTAGTTGTGAGAGAAAAGAGCAAGACAAAATCAAGTCGGCAAAGGCAAATGTATGTTGTACCTTCAGATTCAGATTTTGTGTCTTCTAGGTCATCTGATTTTGATTATACAATCTCAGAGGAAGAGAGAGAATAAGTGAGAGAAGCCAATGAATTGTGTGGGTATCTGAAAACCAGTTTAAGGAGTTTAGTTTCCTCAAAAAGGTGAAACTGCAGAAACTAAACCTGGAGAGACGAAAAACGGGTCCATCCGCGGGTTCACCCATACTTATATAGGGCAGGGTACGAGTCTAATATTTTAGAACCGTATATTTTGACCCGTATTAAACCCGTATTCGTAAAGACCCGATCCACCCACCCGTTTTACCAAGCCTACCCATAAGTGATCTAGTGACACAATTTTTATTATCATAGTTTTTCTTAATTCAATCAAACGTTAATCTGCTAAATACATTAATTATATGTATTTATTTCAGAATTATGAAAAAAAAAAAAAATTGTGAATACAAATTTAATTTCTCAATTTTGAAATAGTGGTTTAATATCTGGAGAAAGTTTTGGGTGTAAACTTGAAACATTACAATTTTATGAATTTAAGTAAAATTTGGGCACTTCTCTTAAAGCCCAACAACTTGAAGCCCACAAGCAATTAAAATTAGGGTTAGGGTTAGGGTTAGGGTTTTGGGAAAACATATATGAAGAGCCATATAAACCACTCTTTGTCTCTCCACTTTTGAGTACTCGTCTTCTACATTTTCGTCAGAGCGGCGAAGCGAGCACCAGCGTCTCACAAGCATGGTTCACGTTTCGTTTTACCGCAACTGTGAGTGTTACTTGTATTACTACGCCGTATTCACAATATCTGTTTCATGTCATTTCACTTTCTCTTGTTTTTAGTTTTGTTTGTTTGTTTTACTTTGAGATTGTGCTTGTTTCGTTTGTTAGTGCTCTGTTGACATTATCATTTATGTTTATAGTTACTACACTGTTTAGCTGCTAATAAAATGTCGGAATAGATAAGTAATTCGAAGTTTCTTTTGTGTTTTAGTTTGTTCGCTTGTAGTCATTTAGATTAATTAAGATTATTTTGATCTCGAGTTCCAAACTTAAAGATTTTGTGAGCTGCTAGATTTACGTTTTCTTTTCTACAAAATCTATTGTTTCTGACCAAACAAAGTAGAGTTTTGGCAGCTGGGATTGTGTTTTATGCAAAAAAGCTGTAATTTTTATAAGTTGATGAGAAGTATGAATTCACATTTTCAGTGTTCGATCAAAATGGTGGATATGTTTGTATATGTGTTGATAGTTAATGTTTTATGTTTAATGGATGAACTTGAGCTTGAATAATTAAAATTCACATATGGAATAGATGGAAAAACTTTTAAGAAGCCAAGACGTCCCTATGAGAAGGAGCGTTTGGATGCTGAACTGAGGCTTGTGGGAGAATATGGCCTTCGCTGCAAGAGGGAACTCTGGAGGGTGCAGTATGCACTGAGCCGCATTCGAAATGCAGCAAGGGAGCTTCTAACCCTTGATGAGAAGAACCCTCGTCGTATTTTTGAGGGTGAGGCCCTTCTCAGGAGGATGAACAGGTATGGGCTTCTTGATGAGAGTCAGAATAAGCTGGATTATGTGTTGGCCCTTACTGTGGAGAACTTCCTTGAGCGCCGTCTCCAAACTCTTGTGTTCAAGAATGGAATGGCTAAGTCGATTCACCATGCACGAGTTCTCATCAGGCAGAGGCATATTAGGTATGGTGCATTCTGTTCTCTTCAGAATAACGTTACATACCATTTTTCAATATTTTATTCTGTTATGTAAGAACTGTTGCCTACTTAGGATTTGTGTAACTAGTATGCTCTCATTTTTAAATACGAGTGAAATATGGATTTGGCCTGCACTAATAATGGATTTTGTTTGGTGTAGAATATGCCAGGCTAAGATTTTTAACGTAATTCATTAGTATCATTTTTTGTTGAATAGCTGTGGGAATTGAATAATCTAATATTTTCCAGTTGTTTAGCTACCAGGAAAAATAATTTTGTCCAATTAATTGAAAGATAGCCTCTAGAAGTTTTGCCTTGTGCATTCTTAGATTGATGGTTGTACTGATCAAACAGACTGATAAGCTGATATTGGTTTAGAGGTTATGCCTTCCTATGGAATTCATTATGTACGTTTGAGATACATTCCATTACTACTATTTGTATTTCTCATTAACATGAGTGGTGTGTCTGATAATTTGCTTGTTGTATCAAGTTTATGATATGGTTTCACTTTTTAGGGGTTGTAATGTTAATTTTTGGTTTTGAGCATGGCTATTTTGTATATATGTTAATTTATATCTCGGTTATCAGAGTTGGGAGGCAGGTTGTCAATATCCCGTCATTCATGGTGAGAATGGACTCACAGAAGCACATTGACTTCTCAATCACAAGTCCATTTGGTGGTGGTCGCCCAGGTAGAGTGAAGAGAAGGAACCAGAAGGCTGCTGCCAAGAAGGCTGCTGGTGGAGATGGAGTCGAAGAGGATGAAGAATGAGCACAATAGTGAGTGATTGTTATTAGGAATTAGGGCCGAGTTTTGCATGTTGACTTTTCCTCCTTCTGGAGTTTTTCTTTGGGGACATTCAATCATAGAAAGTTTTGCTTGGTGTATGTTCTTGACTGTTTTTCAGAGTATTTTTGTTTGTCAATGGGATATATGGTGAAATCTACTTGCTTGACCCTTTTGCTGTTTGATCTAAAATCACTTAAAAATCCAAAGCACCTGCGTATACAATTCACAAACTTGCTTCAATTTAATAAGCCGTGGAAATTAACATTTTTGTGATTACTTCTCATCTTTTCTGACTTGTTTTTGCGAGTATCTGTTCTATTGAGCTGATGTTGTAAGGGATTATGGAGTTGCAATCACTGTTTTAAAAGTCGGATCGGACTGGCCGATCCAATCGGTTGGATCATGAACTTGTCATGTGTCTGGTTCGAGTCAACCCTAAACTCGCTATTAAGCAATAGATCGCTTTAACCCGTAATGGATCGTGTGAACAGTGTTGGACTGTCGGTCTGATCGGACCGCAAGAAAAATCGATCTAACTAAAAAATTAAAAAAACCCTAATTTCTCCCTTTCTCCTGTTGTGCTACGCAGTCTCTTCTTCCTCAGTTCCTCTACGTGCAAAAACTTTGAAATTTTTTTAATAAAATCGCGAAAATCTGAAAAAGATCACAAATAAAAACTCGATCTTGTTGAAATCGCAGCCATCCTTTGTTGAAATCGCAACCATTTGTTGCTAAAATCGATCGCAACTCCAGTCTTTGAAATCACAACGACGCAGTCCTCTCTCGTCGGAAATCGACGCATGAAGGTTGATTAGCATGCATGTCTTGACAATCCAATTTGATTCAAGGTGAGTTGTAATCTTCGGGACCTTTGCTGTGAAATCTAAAATGTTTCATTGTTCATAGAGATTTTAGACCTAATAACATCCTCCTCACCCATGACTTTAGACCAAAGGTCAGCTCCATATTTTCTGCAATTCATATTTTTTCTTTAATTTTGATTAATTGAAAATTTCCAAGAAATACATTGAATACGTATACCAATATTGATTATTATGTATCATCACTCTCAGAAACAGGTGGGAAATTTCAGTTTGGCAAGGTTGCTGGCAAATGGACAGTTGGTAGAAGAGGCGCATTTGGGTATACAAATTCCCTCAATCTTACTAATATAGCTCTAGGGCCTATTTAATTTGAGATATGATACAATTCTTTGGTTTTTGAACATAAATGAAGAAATAGACCTTAAGCAAAACATTTTTGGTTGAGAATTTTCAGCAATCATTTACTTGATTTAGTTCCAAAATATACCCATTTTGGACTCATAATAAAGAAAGTTGATGTATATGCCTTCGAAATCATTTTGTTGGAACTGTTTTTGAATAATACATGATTTATGGTCATCATGCCGACATTGTCGAATTAATTTATTTCAATACGGATGATGCAGGGGTAACCATTACATTGAATTGTTCCTGTATGGTTAAGGATTTGGGTTCGTATGTAGTAACTAATCAATAATTTAGAGAATGTTGTTTCATCAACTTATGTGTATGTAATTGGTTTTACAATTTTTATAACTNACTTGACCCTTTTGCTGTTTGATCTAAAATCACTTAAAAATCCAAAGCACCTGCGTGTACAATTCACAAACTTGCTTCAATTCAATAAGCCGTGGAAATTAACATTTTTGTGATTACTTGTCGTCTTTTCTGACTTATTTTTGCGAGTATCTGTTCTATTGAGCTGATGTTGTAAGGGATTATGGAGTTGCAATAAAATACTTCTACGGCATTATTATCATAACTTGGGCGTTTTTGATATACATTTTATCTGTTTGACATTATAGAAGATCTAAATTTGACCCCTTTATACTTATAACAAGCCTCTGGTCTGGTGATTAGTGGGTCATGTTGCCGGTTTACCAATCTATTACAATCCAATAATATTATATTTACAAACTTTTTTTATTAATTTTTTTTTATAAATACAACGTGTTAACTCGCAATGGGTCTATCATATACAATAGAAGTGTTAGTCAATCTATTTTATTGATTATAATGCTGAAGGCACGCTTACATAGAGATGATTATTCCACATGTATATGAATTTGATTTGTGTGTACTATTGAGCTTAGGATTTGTGTTGGCACAATCCCATCAGATGTGGCCCAACTTAATCCAGAGTTTATGGGTCTGTGCCTTGGCCCATAAGAGTGTTAGAGATCAAGAATTATACTGAACAATTAAGGGTGAACTTTTTGTAAGCCCTTTTTTTTTTTATACTAATTATGATTCCTAAATGTCCCTCTTCGAATTCATTTATATTAACAGGTTGTACTTTTCTTCGTAACATATTATTTTAATAGATGATCTCTTCTTGCACCTAGAATGCTACCGTCACTACACAGATTATGAAAATAAAGTTGTATATCATAAAGGAAATAATTTGGGAAACAAAACAAGTTAACAATTGTAATTTCAATAGGTTTGCTCAGAGAAGTAAATAAATTAACAACTTTTGAGAATCTGGTGACCACAACAATCTGCAATAATAATAGTCTGATAATAATAATACCCCGCTAAGTTCTAGTAATTTTATCTCAAGTGCCCATTTAAATTTATTTTTTTAAAGATTTTTAGAATATCAAACCAATCCTTGTTTGCAAACAAAGTTCTAAACAAACTTCCATAATGTCTTTGACTTCTTTTTGGTTTTTTCAGTTTAAAATATGTACATATTAATTCTAAAAATTTATTAACGGGGCTTCAAAAACGAAAATTATGGGCTCAAATAACATTACTTTTGAATTAATAATCTCTCAGGACTAAGTATAGTGCCCTTTTGTGTTTTGTATAATATTTGTCTTCATTTGACTAGACCATATCTATACTTACAAAAAATAATTAATTAATTAAAAACTAAAAAAATTATTTAATAAGGACCGATTTTTTTTTTTTTTAATCTGAATGTAATTAATAATAAATTAAGATGAGGTTTATTTTGTTTTTAGCTGCTATCTATATATCGAATAATAAAAAAGCTAAAATATTTAGCTTTTATCTAATATATAAAAACAACTTAATCAATAATATTTTTTTTTGTCAACAGTGCCCTATCAAATTTATATAATTCCAATTTTAACAAAACTTTTGTGCATTATATATTTTTCGGCTTCTTTTAATTTTTTATAATTTTTTTAAAATATTACATCAGACAATATAATAACGTAAATTTTAATTTACATACCTTTTTTTGTTTTGATTTTCATAGTTTAGATTATTAAAAATTGTTTAAAACACGTAATATATAAAATTATGTGATACTTAAGAAGGACCTATAATCTAATCAAGTGTCTAAACTATGAATTTAAATATCTTTATTTATTTTATTCTAAATTAATAAATACATAAATTACGTAAGAACATTCATTAGATAAGATCTTATCGATATAATATTTACAAAATTCTTGTTATATTAATATTAGTTTCAAATTCATATATTAACTGTAACATAAAATAAAATTCAGTCTCAACATGGATAAAGAGATCCATAACATAAAAGAGGATTGAATTGAATATATCTTTGTGATATTTTTGGTAGTGAAAAGTTTAAGGTATGGATTTTTTTTTTTTTTTTTTTTTCTGTTATGTATTGTAATATACTTTTCAATTTTGTGGTGTTAGAAACGATCACAAAAGTATTATGATAATCGTATGAAGTTAAGATAAAACCATTACGGTGGATCTAAAAACTTTGTTCAACATAAAAAGGAAAAGGTATTTATAACCATTAACCATACACATATAAACTTTATAATTTTGGTTTCCCATATAATATTATCATTTCTAACATCTTTAACTGATTCCTTTCAATTAGGCTATGTAAATTGGACAAACTATTGGAACAATCCAATTGTTTCATGACACTCATTAAAGTACCAATAAAAGGTGGGTTAATGATCAAGCTATAGTGCTATAAGTAAGTTATGTTTTTTATTTAACTTTTTTGTTGAATAATAAACTCATTATGAAACCATATGATATGATGATATAATGATATATTTAAACGAATATAAAGATATAACAAAATAGTCAATTGTACATCTAAGTTTAAGTTTTATATGTTATTGAAAGAGATGACTATTGGTTATGCATATTCTTATGTTAGGAAAAAATGCTTGAGTTGCGAAAAGAATCTATGGCTAGGGAAGTTGCAAGAAGTGAAGAAGAAATTTGTGAGGAAGTTCTTGGGAAAGCTTCAAGATTTAACCAGAATTTTGCATTTTGTCCATCTCAACATCATGCTTCCCATGCTTTACCAGGAGAAACAACACAGTTAAGACGTAAAGTTGAAGAGCAAGAAGAGAAAATTAAAGAATTAGAGGGGCAGCAAAAAGTACTTCAAGAACAAAAGCAAAAAATCAAAGAATTTGAAGAACGACAAACCAAAATGATGGATTTGTTGAAAAACTTGACACCAGGTGTAGCACCGCCATCTCAACCTCATCACTCTCCTTCTAATTGAGGTCTTTATGGAACTTGAATTTCTAGCTTTTAAAACTTTCACTTACATTTGCGGTTTTGGTTGCCTAGCTATAAATACATTAACTTTTTGTTGTCTAGTTAGAAGCTATGAACACATATTCTTTTTGGAAATATATGAGTTGTATAGATATCTTAGGTTGAATATGTGGGAGAGCGTTTTGGTTCTTTGGTTATGCACAGATGAAAGTGTTGGTTCTATAGTAATGGACATGTGTAAATATAGTTGTTTAGCAATGAAAATATATATTTTCCGAACAATTGTTACATAATTTGGTATTATGATATTATTTAAAATTTTGTGACATTGTATCATTTTTTTGTAGTACATATAAAAACAAGAAATAAACAAAAGGATTAATGTTAAAACCAAATACCAACTGATAGGTCCCAAACGCAGAGTGTAAAAATGCTACAAAAAGTTTGTTTTCTCTTCGGGTGAGAAACGTACCGCAATTTGAAATACTTGATAGCCTATTAATGAAAACATTGGCTGCTTAAATAAGCAAAGCCACATACATACAGACCGTAATACAAGGAAAGTTAACAACTAACAAGTGAAATTCACATACATAAAATGGAGCATAAAACAGAGCAATAACAAACGGAATTAAGATGACGTAAAACTCCAACTACGG